ATCTAATCAGTATTTTATGTCCTAATTTCATAGCTTATTACACTTATTCTTAAACTGTTGAATAGGCCTCAGCAAATCATTCTGTTTCTTCAATACACTGATAAACTCTAGATAAAACCATACTATTATCATATTGACTACTTTCTTGCACTTCTTCAGCACCAAAGAAATTAAACTTGCTGGTACATTCCTTTTCACAAGTATCCCATCCATTTCACCACTGGTCCAAGTGTGAAGTTAAACATATGTTCTGAATAGGCATGGCAAGGACTGTTCATCAACACTCTCCCACAATGATAGAGTTCTTACTGCCAGCTGGTGAGTCATGCTTCTCCCAAACACCATTCTATTGTGTTCCCTAATACTGCTTCTGACCCCACGTGTCAATGTCAAATTCCCTGGAAAATAGCCTTCAGATGCAAATTGGCAAAGGTATGTCTCATTTGGGAACATGCCCAGTAATAACTCATATAGGAGTAAGGGATACAAGCATAAGGACAGAAGTTCAACTGATCAAGTCATAAAAGAAGCCTCAGAGTCATATAGGAAGCTCTTGGTAATTGTCTTCAAAGAGATCTTAGACAAAGGTAGACTTGGGTATCCGTACAACAACTTGTCATTAGATGGGGGAGGGATGCCTTTGTGAGGGAATGTGAACTTGGGTGAAGTGGCTCCCTTTGGCCAAAGATAGTTTCCTTTTTTATCTAAAGTCTATATTCAACTTATGATTTCTAGTAGATTATGTTTTTATTGTACATATTATGGTGTATAATGTAATTTTGTTACATGCATATATTTTAATGATCAGATTAGGATAATGAGCACCCATCATCTCATATTCAAGATTTCTTTGTAGTATGAGCATTCAAAAGTCTTCTAGCTATTTAGAAAAATGCAATGTTATTGTTAACTATTGTTAGCCTACGGTTCAATAGACCACCAGTATTATTATAAAAAGGAAAAAAATTTCAGGGCCAGCACTGTGGCACAGCAGGTTAATGCCTTGGCCTGAAGTGCCAGCATCCCATATGGGTACCGGTTCGAGACCCGGCTGCTCCACTTCTGATACAGCTCTCTGCCATGACCTGGGGAAGCAGTAAAAGATTGCCCAAGTCCTTGGGCTCCTGCACCCATGTAGGAGACCCAGAAGAAGCTCCTGGCTTCAGATTGGTACAGCTCCGGCTGTTGTAGCCATCTGGGGAGTGAACCAGCAGATGGAAGACCTCTCTGACTCTACCTCTCTCTGTAACTCTGTCTTTCAAAAAAATTTTTTTCAATAGTAGTAAACCTTTTCTGAGGCTTAATTTACAAATCCCCTTAATCTGGGTGGTAAAAATAACATTTTAGGCATTAAAGAACATAGGGGTAGGATCAAATGTCTGGTCATAATAATAGAATTAAAAAGGAGTGAATGCTCCAGTATATGAAGCAGTCCACACAGCAGACTCATAGAATGACAATAGTTTTAGGTAGCACTCTGATCTCAGAATTGGCACTTAAGGCATTTTGGTATGGCTGAAAAGCCCATGAGAATATTTGGGCATGGAAATCAAAGACACTGTGGCAAAAAGTGTTCTCCATGAAGGACCTCTGTGGGAGAGACCCTAGTGGAAAGAAGTGGTCATCGAAGAATATACTTTTCTCTGAAGGGAGGAGAGAACTTCCACTTTGATTATGGCCTTAGCCAAATACTGAAGGAGTTTGTGGATTCGGAAGGCTTCCATAGCCTAGGTAGCTCATGTCAAGAGCCTCAGGTGTTCACTGACATCATACATAAGAATGTTAACTGTTAAATTAACAAGTCACTGTGCACTAACTTCCCATTCAAGACTTCTCTCTTCAATGAGTTGGCTTATGATAGTAGTAAAACTTGTTCTCAAAGACTGATTTCATTTTAGTGAATTAAGTGGAGGATATTCTTATGTCTTATAAACTATAGTTATATCTAAGGGCTCTGAAAAGACTTATCACTCTTGGGTTCTTCTTCAAAGTTAGTTAGCTTTCTCAAAGATAGTTTCTTAGGAGAGACTCACTTGGGATCCCTCAGCACTAATATTCATTGAAGCTGGATTACCGGATAGAGTGGCTACATTAGTACTGAAGAGGAGATCTCCATGACACAACATACTGCTTTGCATTTCTTCTCTACTGTTCAGGAAATTCTGTGCTTAGTAGAAAATAAGAAGAGATAACAGAAAAACAGGCAAAATGCAATTAATTCTTAAATGGCATAACTACTTCCTGGAGTATTGATGGGTAGTTCCGCACAAGTTACTGCAAAAGTGAAAAATTGGATGTCATGGGCTCTGAAGTTTCAGATCCTAGACACTGAAGTTTGAATTACATGCCTTCTGTTTTGGGCAAGTAACCTTAAGTCCGAGTTTCTCCCTCTATATAAAATGACTGTGATAATGCTGGTTGACTATTCTTTGTCTAAAATGCTTGGTATCACAAGTGTTTTGGATTTGGAAATATTTGCATATATATAGTGAGCTATTTTGGGGATGAGACCTCACTCTTAAAACATATGTATCATATCTTATGCACATGGCCTGAAGATAATTTTCCATTTATAATATCCTGTCAGCACTCATTTTTTTTTTTTTTTTTTAGTCAGAAGGAGAGGCAGAGAGGTCTTCTATCCACTGGGTCACTCCCTAATTGGCTACAACAGCTGGAGCTCTGCCGATCTGGAGCCAGGAGCAGCTTCTGGATCTCCCATGCAGGTGCAGGGGCCCAAGGACTTGGGCCATCTTGTACTGCTTTCGCAGGCCATGGAAGAGAGCTGGATCTGAAGTAGAGTAGCCGGGACTCAAACCAGTGCCTGTATGCGATGCTGGCACTGCAGGCAATAGCTTTACCTGCTGCTATGCCACAGCACCGGTCCCAGCACTCAAATTTTAGGATAGGAATGCTCAGCCTGAAGAACCTGTCTTGAAGAGGTGGGGAATTTGCCTGAGTCCATGGAGGAACTCAATAGCCATCAACCAGCCCTGGCAAACACAGAGATAAAGATGACTGTCCTGGGCAAGGGAGTACATGCATTCTGTGCTGAGCAAACCTAGGTTGTTCTCTGTGCAAAATATTTGCTAGGGAAGTCTCATTCCCAACTTGAGATTCATCACTGACATGTTCAGTTGATCATTCTTGACTACTCAAAAGTAGGTATTATACTTGACTCACAAATGATAAAGGTATCTACGTGAGTGTACTTTGTCATGTGCCCAATGCGCTCTGTAAAGGCCCCCAAACCTTCATAATCCAGAACACGTAGGTGAGTACTATAATGTCAAAACCATTAATGACTGGAGTTAACTGTAAGGAACAATGCAAGCTACGGAGGACTCAGCCATTTTGGGACCTCTAGTAGATGCTCAAGGAGAGCCCACTGCTCTCTGAGCACGTCACACCTGTTTAATTAGCAATAATGACAGGCTTTAGATAATCATAGAGAAACTGAATCACTAAAGGACCTAAGAGAGCTCAACAATTTAATTCCAAGCAAAGAGCAAACAGAGTGCATTCTAAAAGCATGATAGCTAGCAAAATTGTAGGTTAATGACCTTGAATTTTATAACTCAATGGGACACACATATTTCCAGACTGGAAGTAATGGATTATAGGAAATGTATAAACTGGCACTTTATGAATAAATTATTATAGCATTAATTGCAATTAAATTGCTTTATCTTAATATGATCTAGTAATTAAAGCACAAGGGGCTTACTGCCTAGCTTTTATCTGAATATGCACCAAAGAAAAGTATTTGACTCAGCTAAAATATTTATGAATTTATTTACAAACTTTTTCTCATTAGGGTGGATGTTGAAGGGAATGTTAATCATATCACATGGTTTTTGTTTTCTTATTAGGAAAGGCATTTACTTAGAAACCACAATTGATATCAGACTGCTTATTAATAATTTTCAATATTAATAATCCTTTCTGCTTATTCAGAGAATAATTCTGAATACTGGCTCAAATAGGCCAGACAACATGGTGAATTTTCAAGCTTTTTATTCAATGAGAGGAATGCACAGGAGACTGAGAGCTTTATTTGGGGGACAAAGGAGTCTAGGAGCTAAGTAGAGTCCATGCCAAGCAGAGAGCAGGTCAGCAGTGAGCCGTGTGGAGCAAGCGTATGGTTATGAGCAGCCACAGGTGGCCTAAAGTGGCAGCAAAGCAAAAGCAGAAAGCAGGCCAACAGGCCATGCGTCTCAAAGGTGCAGGGCAACAGAGAGTGGGCCCATTATATTCCAGGCCTTTTATTTATCCCTAAAGAGGGAGTGGTTATATAGTGTGATTGGCAGCTGGGTGTCCAGGTGAGGTCAGGTAGGGGCATGAGATCACACAGAGACTTGGTGAAGGCGTGGTCTCCAGTTTACAAATCTGATCCTCTTTATCCTAGCTGCCTGCCTACATCACAATGACAACCTGGGCGACCATGGGCCCTCAGGAAGGCAGAAAACACTGACTGCTATAATCCCTCAAGGGAGGCATTGTCTCCAAGTCACTCAATTTTCCTGTCATCCATTCCTGAATACTACTTAAGGGGCACTATAGGCAGGAACAGCATAATGGCTGTTTTATTTTATTTTTTATTTATGTGTTAATTTTCCTGAATTTATCCAGTGTGGTTGTCCTGTGCACACAGAGCTTCTCGTATGTGGCTATATATACAGGTATCAGTACTTTCCAAACTCTGTTTATGGGTATGCTTCTGGGGATTTCTGTGGTACAGGTCATGTCCCAAGGTGTTGAAATACAATAGGTGCTCAATAAATATTAATCCAAAGTATGATGAGGGGAGATAGTTTTTAAATATATTTTTAAATTCCTGCCATCATATATCATTAAAATGGCCAAACAAGGTTTATATACACAAATAACAGTACAAAATGGCAACCACAAAATGAGCTGTTGCAGCACATTGATAAATGATGAGCCTATTAATTTGTCCTGACCACGAGTAATATCTAGTTTTCCCATTATGATTTCAGACATGATGAAACCGAGGAGAGGTCAAGAGACTTCCACAAGACCTCTCTGAATGTAAGTGAATGAATGAATGAATGTAGTTCCAAACCCTGAAGAACAACTGCTATACAATAAAGTTTTAAAATACAAATATCATGTGGTAAAGTAAAACGCCATTTCTAACTAAGAGTTAAAATAACCCAGGCAACATTCCCAAAATGTCTAAAACTTTAAGGGTTTTACGTGGCCTGCAAACCAAATTGGCCAGATTATCACATAGGCTGGTAGGAGATAAGAAACTTGTAGGTCGCTGCTGTGTTGTGGCAAAGAGGGTAAAGTTGCCTCCTGCAGTGCCAGCATCCCATATGGGTGGGGGTTTGAGTCCCGGCTGCTCTACTTCTGATCCAGCTCTCTGCTACGGCCTGGGGAAGCAGTAGAAGATGGCCCAAGTCCTTGGGCTGCTGGAGGCCCGGAGGAAGCTCCTGGCTTCGGATTAACACAGCTTTGGCCATTGCAGCAACTGGGGAGTGAACCAGCCGATGGAAGACCTCTTTGTCTGCCTCTCCTTCTCTTTGTGTAACTCTGAATTTCAAATAAATAAATTAAAAAAAAAAAAAAAAACTTACGGGTCAGGCAATGGACGGTAAACTAGCCATGATACTTATGGTTGTAAGAATATCAGCATTTGTACTGTTTTTCAATTTCTGATGTTCAAATAAGTCAGGTACTGAACAGTTGAATTGTAAAAATGGGGAGGGGGTGATTTGTATAAATGAGGGGAAGTAGATCAGATAAGCAGAAGAAAAATCGTCATACAAATAGTAGCTGACATGACTTGGTATGAGTGAAATTCTCAGATGGACCAGAAAGAGAAAAGTAGACTGGTCAATTGTAGAATGCTTCAACTGTTACATTAGGAAAAAATATGCAGCTTTAGAGACTGTTTTTACCCAAACTATCCAGTGTCATCTTTGTTCACCTGCCCCCCTACAGACTTAAATCCATAGGCTGAGGACCCTTTCTTTTGGGAAAACTTGGTCAAGGCCACTGCTGGCCAAGGAGGTATCTTTGTTCTAATTATAAAACAGTGCACCTGTAGATGAGCAAGTGCTTGAGTGAGGAGAAAAGTCTGAAAAATGAGCAGCCCTGGACAGAGTGCAAAGAAAATAGCTTGGTGAGTGCAACGCTAGTTAGAGTGTACCTCTTACTCTTCTCTCTCCACAGAGCCTTAATGTTGTACTTATTCTTTATAAATTATGCAGAGTAACTCTGACCTCAAGGTTTTTTTAAAAAAATTATACTCCAAATTTATTAATGTTAATAACTGTATATTTATAAAGATTGTAGATAAATATACTAAAACTTGAAATCCCTATCAAACAACCAAGAAGTTGCTGCAAAATGTCATCTCAAAGGTTTATGGAAATAATTATATAATTAGTGATTTTAACATAGTAGTTCCGATATGATATGAGAATACAAAAGAAATGATTTCCAAACTTCAGGAAGCATTTATACAGAAAAATGTTCAGGCACAATAGGTTAAGCCACAGCTTAGAATGCCCATGTCCTACTTCAGAGTGCCAGGTTTGAGGTCCAGCTAATCTGCACTTGCCACTCAACGTCCTGCTAATGCACCTGGGAGGCAGTAGACAATGAATGGCTTAAGTACCTGGGGTTGTGCCATCTAAGTAGCAGACTTGGATGGAGTTCCTAGCTTCTGGCGTGGGCCTACCTCTGGTTGGGGATAACCATTTGAATTCTGAATTTTAAATAAATATGTGCATGTTTTAGGAAAACCCAGTGTATTCTATAGTTAAATTGGAACTGATGTTAGTAAACCCACTGGAGTGTAATTAAGATCTTAAATTTTGGTTTTTATATTACATATTTAAATAACACTGAGAAAAGCTCAACTAATAAGCCTTGTTTGACTATGAAACTCTACTCACCCTGATTTTCAAATATAACAGTAAATATGGTGCTATTATTCTTATATTCTTTTTGATAACTTCTTAATTTTTCTATTACTTTATATATGATATACATGATTAAAAACAGAGCCCAAGGAATATACACTAATCACACACATATTCTGCCTGGCATTGTGCTAGATGATAAAAAATAAGCTGAAAAGAAAACACAATTTTTAGTTTGAGGGAGCTCACAACACAGTGATTGAGAACAAAAATATAAACCACTACCTGCGAGAAACTTTTGGAAAGAGCTGACTATCTGCCTGTCCTAGGAGTGTAGGTTGGAGGAAGACGAGTTGGCAGAGGAATGAGTTTGATTTATAGGATAATGCTCACATTTCTACACTCTCGATGGGGGAAAAATAAGGCTCTCAGTACCAAAGTAGATGCTTTTTCCAACTAGGAAGAATGAGTGCAGGTAGACAGATCAAAGGAAACGTTGCTCTTTGTAAATTTTAAACATTCTTTCAGGATGAGAAGACTTGCAGGAGAATTGAGAAGTAAATAAAGGCTGATAAAGGCTCCACAAGCAACAGTGTGCTGCCCTGTTGAGGTGTCAGTGAATTGGAAACACAGCAAAAGAATCAGACTAGAGCTTAAAACATTGGCTTCATTAGAAAATGGATAAAACTGGAGAATGTAACTTAATAGAAGAACCTAATGATTGACAGTCTTAGAAATAGAAAATTATAGATTTTAATCCATATTATCATATTATACCAGGGCAACTTCCCAAGGTTTATGGGGACACAGAGGGAGGAGCCTTCCCTGGGAGGAAAGCAGGGGACAATTCCTCCCAATGACATGCCTTTCCAAGGGAAAAAAAAACCCTCAACTATGCATAGTGTGTTCTTTGTAAACTTACCCCAAGACATATTATAGCCCTCCGGTTTTGTCCCGGTTGGGTTGCTCCTCTTCCAGTCCAGCTCTCTGCTGTGGCCTGGGAAGGCAGTGCAGGATGGTCCAAGTGCTTGGGCCCTGCACCGCATGGGAGAGACCAGGAGGAAGAACCTGGCTCCTGGCTTCCGATCAGCACAGCACGCCGGCCGTAGTGGCCATTTAGGGGGTGAACCAACAGAAGGAAGACCCTTCTCTCTGTCTCTCTCTCTCACTGTCTAACTCTGCCCGTCAAAAAAAAAAAATTGATTCGAAAGAATCAATTTCGCATCAGAAAGAAAATACCAGCATTTCTCTATTCAAATGAATTACATTTGAAGTTTTTAGAAAATGCAAATTTCTGGGGAACTGTTGGGTGCAATGGTTAAGATGATGTTCAGGGTGCCTTCACCCCATATTAGAGTGCCTGGGTTCAAGTCCCTGTTCTGCTTCAGATTCCAGCCTCCTGTGTACATCCTAGGAGGCAACAGCTAGTGGCCCAGGTACTTGAGTCATTGCTATCCATACAGAAGACTGAGATGGAACTCTTAGTTTTAGCCTGGCTAAGCCCTGGCTGTTGCAGCCACTGAAGGGATGAACCAGCAGAGGGAAGACTTTATTTACTTTAAATAAGTGAAATAATACACAAAATGCTTGAAATGTATTTGTGCAGTTTTCTAAAGCAAAGAGATTCTTACTCCTTAAATTATAAGGACACAGAACATGAATTTGCAATCTTGAAATTCACTTCCATTCTCCCTAAGTGGGTGTTAGCACTGGCCTTTGGAGTACACTACTTTAACACAAACCATCTCATGTAGCACTTCTTTAAAGGAAGACAAAGTAAGATAATGGAAATCAAATGGAAAAAAGTACACAACTATGTTAACTAGTGTTGCTACTAATCACTGAATTGTGGTGCCATTGACTTCTAGTCCACAAGGTAATTAGATTTTGAAAGCAATTCTCTTGCTTTGATTTGGTTCAAAATTTGTCTGAAGTGTGTGTACAATATGTTTCATGACCACTCAAGTGAGATGCTAGTGGTTCTTTAATCTCTGAAATAGAAGTTATCAGTAACATTGATGAAAGCTCTGAAGCTTTTACTTCCTCCAGAGTTCTCCACCCAACCTGAATTGGCATTCAGATAACCTGGATCCCTGGTTTGGAAGGCAGAATTGTAAGGTCACCCCAAATATTCTTGATACTTGGTACCCATGTACCTGCCAGATACTCGAACTGCAATGTAGGTAATGACATGAAGGCCATTGGCAGATAGAATTAAGGTAGCCAATCAGTCGGTCTGGAAATGGAAAGACCATCTGGATAAATGTGACCCAAAGCACAGGGGTGCTAAGTTTGAAGATCAGACAAAAAATAATAAGGGATTGGAAGTATGAAAAGGATTTAACATACAGGAAATTCTTATGCTGGCTTTTAAGATGGAGAGTGGCCTTTAGGAATTGGTGATGGTCACCAAGGTAAACGGAATCTCATTCCTAAAGCTACAAGAATTAACATTTGGGGGCTGGCGCCATGGCTCACTTGGTTAATCCTCCGTCTGTGGAGCTGGCATCCCATATGGGCACCGGGTTCTAGTCTCGGTTGCCCCTCTTCCAGTCCAGCTCTCTGCTGTGGCCCGGGAGGGCAGTAGAGGATGGCCCAAGTGCTTGGGCCCTGAACCCACATGGGAGACCAGGAGGAAGCACCTGGCTCCTGGCTTTGGATCGGCACAGTGCCGGCTGTGGCGGCCATTTGGGGAGTGAACCAACAGAAGGACGACCTTTCTCTCTGTCTATCTATCTCTCTCACTGTCTAACTCTGTCAAATAAAAATGCCAAAATCAGCTTAAATTGGAAATGTCTCCAGACAGGGATGTGACTTTGGTTTCAGCCTTATTATGACACTAAGCAGAAAACTCAATTTCTCTCTGTCTGAATATCTTTCAGGACTGTTTGCTAAAAAAAAAGGGGGGGGGCGGGCATTTTTTAAAAGTGGGTAAATTTGTTGTAATGTGATGTGCTGCAATAGACTGAAACACTTGATTTCTTAGCTAAGTATCCACTTAAGGGAAAATATTTGGCTTCTTAGTTCTGTCAGTGGCTCTACTAATGCTAGCTATGCAGAAGTTAACTAAACTTTGCCTCTATCTTTTCTTGCTGAGTCAAACATTAAATCAGGCAGGGGCAGGAAGATGTGGGTTCCAATTTGGAGCCAAAGAGC